CTCCGTGATTCAACACCACTACCTAAGCTTCCTGTCGCGGATCGTGCCTTCAAAAGGAACGCTGGAAGCATTTTTGGTTTCAGACAGGGATGAAAGAACAAGTTTTCGCTAGGAGTATGCCCATCAAAAATGACTTGCCGTTCACTGGTGTAAGGCCCGGTTCATACTCGATACAGTCACGCGACTGTAGCTTACCGCTCTTCGGTCCTTGAGACCGACCGACGTTGGACTACAAAGTTTCCAACGATTAGCAGTGGAGCGCGGTCAGTCGGAGTGCCGCAATTGCCTTGCCTGGCGAGGTACGAATGTAGCCTGGTTACAGTACAGGTTACAGGTGAGCACAACAAAGCAAAATCCATTCATTTTCATAGTAACTGAGCACAAATTTTCGCTATATTAATGAGGGGATGCGTTCATTCATCGCTAAAACCTTCTTGGGTTCACTTAAAGGCAGTTGGCACGATAATTTGGTACTCGGCCTAAAATGCTAGCAGAGCGCTATATAGTAGGAAAATGGCGAAAAACGAAGTGAAACGGTCAAAACTGCGAAGGAAAGCCTTCGTTCTTAGAAAGCAATTTCGCATTTTGCAGCACCGCAGCCGCTTCATACCAATCCCTTCGCTTCATAATTTGCTTAGCAAATGAATCAATACGAGCGTCAGGAACGGTCGTCCATTTGTGGGCGGGCGGGCGTGGTGGGCGTTTGGGTCGGTATGTTGTGGCTTGATAAGGGCACCTTCCTTGGAAAAGGCGCTACGCAGCGCCTGCTCAGGGTCGCGGAATTCCGTCCTGCCAGGCGTATTAATCCTACTCGTCTTTAGGGATTTATCGTGTCCAACTGCCTTTAAATATATGAGGAACTTCTGTACATTAACTCCTCTGAAGGGATCTCATAGGGAATGTTGAGTTCCGCAACCCTCAGACCGGGTTCGAAGTCAGTAGTAATTTGGTTGACGGTTCACGTAGCTTCAAACAATGCTCACCTCAATGTGGTCCACTGTCGCACGTTTTCTTGGATTATTCCGTACGCTTCTTGCTGTCGTAATAGCAGTTGGTAGTGACACTAAATTGGATTTTATTGAGCTTCTAACTAGAAACTGATTGTACGGCCGGTATAGTAATCGATATTTATGAGTTCTTTTCCCATAAGTAGAAGTAGCTTCTGAAAGATACTGGTTCATTGAGATTGGGACTAGTAATGTCCAGAGCTAGGCCACCGCGCGACGTCGCGGAGATGCGTGCGGCGTGTTGCGTCCGTCGCAATTGATTGAACGTTCATTGAGCGTATGAACCGACTGGGACGCAGAACCTCCGCGATAGTGTTCACCTGGGTGAGAGTGGAGGGAATTAAAAAAGGGGTAGCAACGGCTCAACACCAGAAACTCTACGGCCTCTGTAATATAGCCTTTCATTTAATCTAGCTTTTGAAATTGTTTTGGGACTCGATGCGTTTCGAGGCAGAATGGCTGACTGTCCCCGCCCATACGGTCATCGTGGACTAATCCTATGGAGGAAGCGGCCACGATGATTCTTTCCCTTGTAAAATGTCGGAGCAGAGAGGCTGAATAGCATGACAGTAAAGCAAAAACGGGGAACGGTCGAAAACGCTCAAAATACAACCCTTCTTACCCGCTCATGATTTGTGCCAGGATTTGTACAACCAATAAGGGGGCCAACGCCTTAGATAAATGGTTAAATATCAGAGAGAAAAAAATTACGGTGACTGCACAGGGAATATGAAAACACATTGCATATTTCCAGCGGTAACGAACTTCACGACAAAATCAGCAGAGGTCCTTAACAGAAACAGAGACATATAATGGCATTTTCACGAGGCGGCTGTCGAAGATTTGGGGAAATAAGTAAAAAATCAACAAAAGCAAAAGAAGTCTGAACTCGCAGTACTTGCAAGAAAACGCACTCTGCCGTTACCAATAAGAAGCGCATTTCCAGAAGGAAACCTGAGGAAGTAAAGAAAAGAGCTATTCAGCCGCAGACTATGGGTAGAACAGCTGATTTGATGTGACCACTTGCTGATCGGTGCGGGCTATTCGTGGACGCGTCGTCCTTGGTGGGAGTCTGGACGGGTATGTTGAACTTGCTGAGGCCCTTAGAGATCGCTTTTCCTTGGAGAAGACTTCATGTAAGGCTTGCTCAGGAGGTGCAGTAGTCTTTATTTATTTTTTATTTTATTTTATTTATTTATTTACTTAGGCACGCACAGGTGCGCTTTTATAACACTTAAGTTACACTAAATCTAATAGAAACTACGATCTTACCCAACACCATGCTGAGAGAACAGACAATGTTAGATTGGGTAGGAAGTTCTCTAGTCAGAACTTTGGCTCGAAGAAAAAAAATCGTCGAAAGAGCCAGCTCTTTACTACCTGTAGGGGTCCTCTGCCTTGGGTAACTCACCATTAACTCGATGAAATTAACTTCAGTGGCGGATGACGCTAGGGAAAACGTCACTCCTAGACGAGAACCAAGCATGGAATCGGAAACTGAGTTTTCAAATGTTAGCTATTCCCTATCCCTAACAATTCACTTTCGGACTTTGGTGTTCGGTGTGTTCCTTTTACGCGCCTGATGAATTTATCGCGCCCATTGCCTCCAAGGATCAAAGCTGGAAAAATGCGAGCGTGGCATCAAAGTCCTGAGCAAAATATGGGGTGCACATGGATGGGGTAAATGCTAAGAATAAGAAACCCCGAATGAATATAGAAGCGGAGAACTCTGGTCAATAGGAAGTGATTCATATCGATAACGGCAATCGAGTAGAGCAGCACAGAGATGTTGCGTAGCAGCAATCTGAAGTGTTTCGCGCGCTGATTTACGCATAGCTTTCCAACAAACGCGAGAGCAAATAGTCGTGGGCGCAACTGTTTTCGGGTTAGGTAGCCTCATCGACAAATTTGTCAATCTCACTGGATTGCGCCATGTCCTCGGATTTGATTGTGAGCTAATGTGGCTTTCACTATAGAGATAGCGATGAAGGATCACACTCCTTATCCCTGAGCCAGAGTAGGCGTGGCATTTGAACATGGCACTGAATTAGTTACTCGTGGAGTATTCTAGTGACCAATCAGGAAAACGAGAATTTTCTCACCTGTGCCGTGCCATGTTTTTTAAAACCCAGATATGACATGCTCTTTCTCGGAGCTTGAAAAACCCAGAGGCGGTTCTGAGTATCTCTTCAAAAGAAGGGTGGCATGCCATACATTGGGAAAGGGGGTCTCGACGGGGTGTAATCCTGGGCTACGTTCTTTCATATGCTTCGGAGTCCGATTTTTAGTTCCACAAGGTACTCCATGGGACTGAAGGATAGCTGTGCCGATCTTCTCCATAGTCTTCTTTTAATTCCCACGAAAAAGCTGTCACTTTGGGTTGACACGTCATCTGCTATTCTTTGGTACTGACCACTCAGGGGGTGCCGTACATTGAGATTCCCAACAAGGACTCCTCGACAAGCTACGCTAGCAGCGCTAAGCTAGATTTGCACTCTCTCCCATTACCGAATACGGCCAAGCGGGGGACGGGTCGTATTTGCTAGTAGGAGAAGGTGCGAATCGTATGCGTTTTTGAGAAAAAAAATGTTCTTGATTGTTGACTTTTTTCTTGGACCTCGTACTTTCCTGTTTCACATGCGTTGTTCACTCCCGCCCACGCTAGACAGCAATTTTTCAGGAATAAAAATATAGGAGCATTTGGGACAACTTTAGAAAAACCCCGCAAAGAGCTGTAGGAAAATGAGAAATCAAGGATGATGGTGGCTAGGTAGTAGGTAAGTAAGTAGGTAGGTGGGTATGCTAGGTAGGTAGCATGAGGATGGGAAAGGGGAGGGGTGGGGAGAGGGGTCGCCCCAAAAGAGTGAATTTTGAGAGGAGGTCCTAGTTTCCGTAATTTTCCACAACATCAGGACGTCTCTGCCCCTGAAACACCTGCCTCTCAAGAATAGATGTGATTGTCACCATGGGGATTCAAACCATCAAGCCATTATTCACCCTTGCTGGTATTCCCAGAGCTATCCAAAACTTCGAACCTCGTCTACTATACATGGATCCCTGCACCATGCGAAAAGCTGTTTTGGAGAGTAGCCTACTCCCTCTGACGTCCTTGGCCACTTTGTTTCTTAGGCGCGCTCGGGTTGATCTACAGCGTACTGTTAACGCTTTCTTCGGTGCTGGTTTTGTACCCTTCGGGCTTGGCCGAATAAACGAGTAAACAACCGATGAGGTTGATTTTACCTGTATTTCTTGGCGAATGAACTGAAAAAATACACAAATAATCAACAATAAAGGTAGTGACTAACCTGTGCTAGATAGCACCGTACCGCGCACTGGAACTTTACAATCACCTTCGTGAGTGCAGCATCACGTAGTTCTTCCATTTTGGCGACAATACCGGCACGGAAGAAGACCTGAATCATTGGGGTGGATGTCGCTACCCGTTTCGACGAAATGAAAAAAGTCGAAAAGTTTGGAATGGCCCAGCTGATATCAATATCCTAATCCAGTCTTTCGTTTGTATGAAGTAAGGAACGAAATAAACCGTTGCTATTTGTAGTCGTTTTTCTACCTATGTCTATTTCTTCTTCTGATTTTCTTCCGAATTTTGCATGATTACAAGTTTACGGTAACATGGGTACAACAAGCATTATATAACACCGCTTCAACAATAGAGGATGACCGGTTTATGATTTCAATAGCGAGGCAAATTACTCACTTTAGTTGAACCAACTTTGAAATTTTCATCTTTGATTTTATCCTCCTTGACGAGTCTCTCGAGCATTTTCTTTTGATGCCTAAAAAGCCTATTTTCATAAAATTCTTGTTCATTCGAAGGCATATGTAATCCACAGTGTTGCATGGGCAGGGCTGAACATACTTTTGCGCTTTTCTCATTGGTGTCTGGGCCTTATTGTCTTTTATACGACAGAGGAGCGCACCAATGAGGAATGCGCAATGGTAGGCCAGCTCGGCCCATATGATGAGCGTGAAATGTGTCTTCGACTAGCCTTTGCTTTCCTTTTTATGATCAACTCCAAACCCATTAAGGTACTAGACCTACGGAGAATACTTTTCAACATTCTAGGCTAGTTTAAAGAGAAAAGAGTTGCAGGAACTGTTCTATGCCCACTTCCTCTATGTGCGCAGCACTAGTGTAGTATAAACCGCACTTTCCCCCTGATCGCGCGCGCACAACGCCCCCTCTAGGACGAACGGCGCCCAGAAATTATTTGAGTTCCCATCATGTCCAATTTGCTAAGACAAAATTGTCCCTAACATCCTTATTGAACATCACAAGACCTCACTGCATTAGGCGAAAGCCTGGGTTTCGATTTTTTTTACGATTTAACAACTTTCTAAGGTTAAAAATATAGCAAAATATGGCATGAAGCACTTCTTCAACTTTGATTAGCGTCATTTTAGGTTGAGTATGGTTTTACCCTCAGCTACATTCGTTCCCAGATGCCTCATCAGCAGCCAAAATAGCATATCGGAAACGGAAGTCGCCAAACGTCATACGGTTAGGGAAACCTTTACGGCAGATTCGAATACCTTCCAGTACGCCGTTGCAGGTCAGCTACAAAATCGGTTCCATAAAGAGATTAAAGATAATTACGTGATATAGAGATGGAAGAAAAAAATTGGTAAAAATACGAGTTAAGAAACTAATGAATGGAACGAAATACCAAAAAATTAGATGCCAGTAACTATTTTCTAAAGATTTAGGCAGTGTTCAGACTTCGCGACGGCAGCGCTTCGGTCGCACGTTCGATCGATGCAGTCGAAAGTGTGCGCATCGATCGTCTCGAACGCGCGACCGAAGCGCTGCCGTCGCGAAGTCTGAACGCTGCCTTACCTGATTAAGGACAAGTGGTGCATCGATGAGTCCACTGGTTTTCTTCTCGTTCGGGATTATGCATCTGAAGTGTGGTTTATTGAATGATAATAAGCCCCACGTCGACTAATCGGGAGTGCGCCTCGCATTTAAACTCTGTTGAGAATTGCAAGCTTATTAGAGTGGGTACTGGGCCTTAACACCAAACTGCAAGGGACCTGCTGCAACCGACGTAGGTTTATGTCTTCACTCTGCTAGGAAGTTTAGCACCAATTAAGCGATTCAGCACATTCAAAAGGCCAACGGATCTTAGCCAGAGATAGGACAGACGTTGTCCAGGGCAGACCATTGTCCAGGCCAGACGTTTTCTTCCCACGAATTACCGGTCAAGCATTTACCCGGAAGGATCTAAGCATACACTAAAATCTTTGCTGAAGATGAAATACCCTCACCTCCGTGGATCCTGGTCCTTGCCTTGTGCAAGATTGGTCTGCAGCTGCGCTGGCGTGTCACATTCTCAGCTCAGAAGTACACGGTAGCCCAAGGGTAATGGAACCCAGGTGCCGTTTCTAGACTCCGTCCGCGCTACTGCACTGAACCACACGCTTAACCAGAGCCAAACGCGCTACTTATCTGCGCCCTTGCTGCCTGTACTCTACCTCTGAATGCCTGTCAGTTGCGACATCCTGGTATCGACGCATGTGTAGTATAGTACCCCCTCAAATGCCTCTACTATTCCGAGTAGAAGCTGTTTGCGTGGCGCAGCTCGGAAGAGGCGAGTGCTTTACTTTTTCTGATTACCTGATGAAATGCGGATGTGTTTTGTGAAGCATAGACATGAGACTGGCAAGTGACTCCCTGTACATCGTTGATACAGTAAGGAAAGAAGCTGATTTGCCTTTCTTGCGGTCTTGAGTCTTGCCTTAAATATTCGATCATTTATTTAATGGGTGGTCAGACTGAAGGCAGTGAATGTGCAGGTCTGGAGATGAGAGTAATAGTTCAAGCGCCTTTTGTGGAAGAGCATTTGGACCCCCTCCTCTGGGTGTGTGGTGATTCTATCGTGGGGTCGTCGCGCCGGTGGGCGGAGCGAGGCGGCGTGGCGGCCGCCGCGTACGTGTTTTGTTGCGTGGCGTTCAAATTGTTAAAGGGATCATCGACCCTTTAACAATTTGAACGTTTGGCGCGATCACGTTACAGTTGACGTGTTGTAACAGGGTTGGATTCATCTGGAAGTAGGTTTGCCTGACAGGATTTGACGTGTGGGCGATAAGAAAAATCGCGCCAAGCCATACACCCAACGCCACGCAACAAAATGTCAATAATCAATGCTTTCATGTTATGATTTCTGCTCTCGGGAGTATAACTCGGGAGTACGGTAATGCAACTCCGGGATTGCCGCGTCGCGGCGTGCCGCGCAGCGGCATGTGCGGCGTCGCCTGACTTGCCGACGATAGAATCGCCCGGGTCCCCTTCCTCAGTCCCTGTGACTATGGCGCAGTGCCCTTTCACCAGTGGCGCTCCAACTGCTGACCTACCCAATACACAGACTGCGTTTGAAGTATTAGTTTTAGAATGTTACCCACCTCGTGCAGCGAATTCTTCTCTGTCCACATCCGTCATGTAGTCCTCCCAGATTTGATAGATTAGACGGGTTTTATCGCTCGTCTTTAGCACGGCCACTGCTGAATCATTCAGTGGGTCCTGCAACGATGATTAACCGTTAGGAAGCTACTATAAGCTCACTGTACTAGAAATGCTAGCCTGTCTAAGAACATTATAAATTATTTGGGCGAGGAACACTTCCACCTTAAAGTTCCATCAGGATGCGCCATGCGTCTTGACTTCCATTTGAGGTTGTGGTGGGATTAGCGCGAATTCACCTTCCATTAATCAGAAGACTCATAAGTGTTTTCTACTTTTTCCATTCGTCAGAAGTTGTGTGGAGTCAGACGCCACCCATCTGTACCGACGATCGATTAGAGAATTTGATTTGACGAACCGTCCAAATATGACAGGCAGAACACGTTCTGCCATTGAGAACAACTCTTGCAAAATATGAACCCTCTCTAGGTTCTCTCATGCCCCATCGTGCCCCCCCCCCTTCCTAAATTTTCCCAATTTTATATTACTTTTTTTCAGTTCCTCCCCTAAAACGGGTGGGGATGCTGTAGAGTGTAGCAAAAAAAAATCGAAAATTTTTTGTCAAACGCAAGCAGTCACTTGCTCCCTCCATGACCAAGTGACTTACTACGGATCGCTCCGAGGGTTGGGAATCCCAACGTATGACTACGACGCGCCGTGATGATGGGGCACCTTTTGTCACTACATACACTCCTTATCCCTGAGACGGAGTAGGCGTGGCTTTTGAGCATGGCATAGGACGGGTTACTCGTGGGATACTTCAATTTGAAACAACTGCTATCTTGTTCTGTGTTAGATGTAGACATGATTACGACTGTTCCAAAATGAAAATATCTCACGAAAACCTGGGCCGCCGCCATTTTAAAATCAAGTACGCAGCCACGCCTACCCGATCTCTGGGATTTAGGGTGTAGCTGTCCTGACGTAAAAGATGGCATTCGCGAGTATTGGTGTTACCTTGTTCTTCTCCAGCCACTGATCAGCGTTGTATCGAACGGTACCGGCATAGTGAACGACAGCAAAATGAGCTGGTGCTTGGTTTCCCTTTGGTGGTTTCGCCTGTAATCATAATTTCTGAATCGTCCTTTGGAATGATTAATTTTACAGACGAAATACCTTCTGGAAGTTTGGATGCTTGCCAAGATGTTGATTAGTCAGTTTGTCAACATATGTCATATCATTTGCTTTTGGAACAATACATTCTTCGTCGAGCATAGAGATGATACCGAGAGGCTTAAATAACTCTTAAGTACTTTTTGCTAGTCAGAGATAAAGGGAGAGTATATCTGAAGTGGATGTGGGCAGTGGCTAGTGGCGCTGCTTCACACGCATGAAACAAGGATCCAATTCCCGGGAAAATCTCATATTGGCCAACTGAACCTACCTCCCCTCCC